TCCTCCTCCTCCTCCTCCTCCTCCTCATCCTCCTGCCCCTCCCCCTCCTGCTCCTTCCGCAACCAGTTTGGCTCAAGAACTTTGTGGCGCGGGGTTTCCCCGCCACACAAGGATACCGCTTTTCCGCGGCAGTCGGAAAGTTTGCTCTCGGCACAATTTGCTGAGATCCTGCAGGAGAACGCATGGACAGGTCCCATGGCAGCGGTGGTTACATGGCGTGCGGCTCCTGAACAATCGTTTCTGGAAGCAGCAGGGCTACTGCAAGTGCGGCTGCTGGGTCGGCCTTCCTGGTCGCAAGCAGTAGCAGACGCCGTGGCCCCCGTTGTGGACGACGCAGGAGCAGATGGTCTCGAGCACCCAGAGGCTGGTGGGAAACGACAAGGCGCTGGGCCAGACCGTCGAAGCGGCGTCCAGCAGCACTTCGCCAGCCGCCCGCCGACCCCATTCTCAGCCGCCAAGCCCCCGTCATTGGCTGCTGCTGAACGTCTCAAGGCGGCCTCCTTCAAGAAGGCGCAGACAAGAAGGTCGAGCGCTGCTGCTGGGAGCCGGCGACGGCGAAACACAGGATGGAGGAGATCGATACTCGGCTCGACGAGCTCACTGAGGAGCACCACCAGGCGACGATGGCGCACGAGGCAGCGGTCGCGGCGGTGGCGGGGAAAGGTGCCTCGTCGGAGCCCGCGCTACCTGAGCGCCTCGCCTTCAACCTCGACCCGCCCCTCCTCGTGGACATTGAGGGGCCGGGCGAGGACTGCCGCGCTGCGGCAGAGGCGCTCCACGCCGCCAGGCGGGCGTGGCTGGACGAACAGGAGAAAGCCTACAACGCGCTGGCAGAGCGAGCCCGGCTGGAGGAGGAGGCCAGGTTCGTCGAGACGCAGAAGGAGGCCACGCGGATCCAGAGCGCGGAGGCCACGCGGCGCGCGCGCATGCAGCATGACCCCCAGGCCAAGGCCAAGCTCCAGCAGGCCGCCGAGAAGAGGAGGGCCGCGGAGGGGGCGGCGGCGGGCGGCGACGCCGAGACCGCGCCTGCGGCCGCGGTGGCGCCTGCCACCCCCTGCGCAGCCGATGCGCCCGTGCCCCCAGCCTTGCGGCCTCGGAGGCCGACGCCGACATGGCCCCCGCGGCCGACGTGCTCGCTGCAAAAAAAATGCCCGTGCTCGAGCCGACCCCCGAGCGCGGGGCCCAGCGCCTCTCGCGGGCCCGGGCCATCCACGAGAATGTCACCAAGGAGCTCGCCGCGCAGATCGCGGCCAAGGTAAGCGCCATGGCTGATGCTGCTGCTGGTTCTGCTGGGCCTGCTGCTGCCAAGGGCGGCAGCAAGATCAAGTCGAAAACCGAGCGTCTGACCCGCCTGAGGCGCAGGCCCCAGGGGAGGCGGCAGCGGCGTCGGAGCCGCCGCCCCAGGAGGAGAGGGCTCCGAGGCCCACCTTGCCTCGAGCCCAAGGGCTCTGCAGCGTTCTTCGCCAACGTCGAGCGCTGGGGAACCCAGGCGGAGAGGCACTTCGGAGAGCACTTCGGCGAGCACAAAGAGATGGCAGCTGTTGAGACACACCTCAACGATGCGAAGCACATGGACGCGGTGAGCATCTCGTCTCGCTCGGGCCGGCGAGCGACTGGCGCTGCTGCGTTGATGTCGGGAAAGTCAAATGCGGGCGCGAGGCGCGAGAGGTGGTGGGCAGATCGCCGCCAGGCGCGACATGGCAACCCTCCCTGAGCCACCTGACCCCCGCCGCGCAGAGGGGCCTCCCCGATGCGCGGCCGGGAGGCTCGGCGCCACTCACGATGCATATCAGGCAGGGCAATCTGCTGGGGGCGGCAGCATGCGTCTTCCAAAGATGCGGCATGGGCGGCGCCAACCGCCGCAGGTTCCAGTCGCTGGCCGCCTTCATGGCCAGCCTCGCGGAAACGCGGGTCGTGCTGGCGGACTGGAACGCGACGCCCGAGGAGCTCATGCGTTCGGGCTTCCCGCAGAAGGTGCAGGGCGAGCTGCCGCTGCCCCCCGACGCGGGGGCCACCTACTTCAAGGGCAGCGGCAGGCCCATCGACTACGCCCTCCTCTCGCACGGCACGGCGTGCGGCACGGGCGACCGCGTCGAGCTGGAGGCGGTGCTGCACGCGCCGCGTCAAGTGCGCGCGGGGCAAGGCTTCGACTGCAGGTCGCCAGAGGCGGACGTCGATGGTTCAGTCGGCAGCCCGTCGCCCCGCTGGCGACCCCGACACCGCCGAAGCCCAGCCAGCAGCCCGACCCAGAGTCGAAGACCAGCAAGCGGCGCGCCGCCGCCCCGGCGCGACCCCAGGACTCGCCGGCGGCTCACCTGCAGGCCGACTTCGTGGCGATGCAGTCCGAGGCGGGCGCGGCGGCTGCTTGGGAAGACTGCGGCCCCGGCGAGGACTTCTTCGCCGCGGGCGTGGACGTGCTGGGTGGCGACAAGGGCGCCAATCCACCGGGCCCCACCGTGGCGGGATCGGAAGGGTCGGGCGCGGGCTGCGGGCGCGGCCCGGGGGGGCCGCAGGGCGCTGCTCCCCAGAGCCCAAGTCGCGGGCCAGACAGCTGGCCGCAGCCTGTGATACATTGCGGCAGCGACTGACGTGAGTTGACGGCGTCACTCTCCAGCCTGGAGGGAGGGGCGCCACTGCGCAGCGCACTGACCTCGACGCGCGCACGGGGCGGCCGTCCACGGCGGACGCTCAGCTGCTGGCTGCACAGGCTGAGGAGAACGCTCGATCTGGGACTGCCCGGGAAGGCCGCGGGCCTGGCGAATACTTCTTCGCCGTGGGCGAGGACGTCCAGGGCGGCGCGCAGAGCGCCAAGCAGCGTGGCCCTGCCGCGGCGAGGCTGGGGGCCGCTGGCGCGGGCTGCGGGCGCGGCCTGGGGGGGCCGCCGGCGGCTGCCCCCCAAGGTCCAAGTCGGGCGTCAGACAGTTGGCCGCAGCCCGCGATGAATTGCGGCAGCGATCGTCAAGGGACAGCGCCACTTTCCAACCAAGTCGACGGCAGGAGGCAGCTTGCCGCCAACCCCGCGCTGCACGAGCTGATCACCGCGACGGCGAAGAGACCGCCTAAGGAGACAACCTGCGACGAGATGCCCGAGTATGAAGGGAAACTGGGACACACAAATAAATACACACACAAATAAACAGATTCCCCATATTTTCATATATTTTCTGGGTTTTTGTCTTCCCCACCACTTCCCATATTTTCCCATATTTTCTGGGAAATCGACGATTAATTGTGTCTGTGTGTTTTTTCCCCTCCTGAGAGTACTTCGCGCAGTCCGAGGCTTGGTGGTCGGCAGGTTCGGGTCTCGCGTCGGCGGACTGGAGGAACGATGCCATGGAGCAGCTGAGCAGGCACCATCTGGTCCGGATGGCGGGCGACGACGCGGCGCTCCTCAGTGCGTGCCACGCCAGGGCGGAGGAGGTGCCCCTGGACGCCAGCAGGGTGCCCGCCGGATAACGCGGTCGGCATCGCGGTCGCACCGTTGGTTTTGCTCTTCGTTGGCCCCCCACTCAAGCCATCTCCTGGACGCGCTCGTCCGCGTCGCCAGGCTGCCGGGCATTGGGCCGCGGCATTGGAAGTGCTGAAGCAGATCGCCTGCATTCGACGGAGCGCGGCAGCAGCCGCGGCAGCCGATGGCATTTTCGACTTGGGCCAGACACACCAGGGACACGCTTGTTCCTTACTTACAGCTCCTGCAACAGTACACGACAAGGCTACACGATCGGCAACAGGAAGGAACGAGGTCAGCAGGGGCGGCCAGCTCGAGCGCTGCTTGGATGCGATGCTGCGTCAGGCGGCCAACATCATGATGGACACCGAATCGCATTTCCCACGTGCTGCTGGGCCCAGAGGTCCCACGCGCCTGGGATCGCATGGTCAACGGCGCACTGAAGATCCCCGCCGTGGAGCTGGATGGCATGGCGACCGTGACGGAGCGCTTCGCCACCGCTGCGCAGGCGCGCGCTTTTGGCCAGCATCGTCGTCAATTTGCCTCGTGGGCTCTCAAGATGTGGCGAGAGAAGCCAAGCGACCTCCACAGGTGGGCGCGACCCCGCGACCACGGCGCAGGAACTGGTGGTGGGTGGCCTTCCCGTGACCGAGTCCAGCCACGTCATGCGCCAGAAGGCCATGCGATGAGGTGCGCTGTGGCGTGCTCCATCTGCTTCCTGGCCCGACCTCCTAGCTGCCCCCCAGGCAACCATGCGTCGGGCCAGCGAATCCCCACCGGAGCCCCTCGAGCGCAGCGGCATCGACCAGGCCGCGCGGACTCGGGGCTCCAGAAAGGCGAGAGGCGTCGACGGCCTCGGCTCGGACCTGGAGACGCTGCCGCCCGAGGGCCGCGATGAGCCGCGGCCCCTGCCGGCGCGCCGCGAAGAGAGATGCTGCTGGCCGCGCCAGCTGATGGGCGCCATCGGTGGCGCTCTCCCCAAGAAAGCGGGCGGCGAGCGCATCGTCGGCCCCCCCCCGCTGGCCCCGAAGAGCCGGCCCCGAGATCGCTCAGCGGTCGCGCCGGCCTGGACTAAAGAGCCCTGCGCTTCCCAGGACGCCGCAGTCCGCGGCTCCAGCGCAGCCAAAGCAGCGCCGCCGCGCAAGTCTGCTCGACGAGACGGGCGTCGAGCTGGAGGTGGCGGCCGCCACGCCCCCAGATGGGCGCGGAGACCTTCTACGACACGGCGTCATTGGCCACGCCAATGGCCACTGCGGAGCGGCTCGCTCCACTACCCCGCCGCGGAGGCGGCCCTGGAGGTTCAGCTCTTCCAGGCGCCGTGCTACCTGAAAGACGGCCACCGCGGGTGCTCCACGCAGGCGGAGGCGACCCGCTCTGTCGCCGCGGGCTCGGCGCACGGGGTCTCCTTTGGCACGCTGCGCAAACGCCCGTTGCTGCGGAAGGCGCATGCGCTGCGCCCTAGGCCGGTTTGTGGAGCTTCATCGACGACGCGGTGATCCGACGCGATGGGTCGGCCAGCGACGCGAGAAAGGAGCCCCCCCGCGTTGCCGAGGTGCTCGAGGACGGCATGGACGAGCAGGGGCTCATCTGCTCGCCCAAGACGGTGCTCGCGGCGCCCAGCAGCAAGCTGGCGGCCAACCTGTCGGGCAGTCTCGAGGCAATTGGCGCCCCGCACTCGGCAGCCGACAAGGCGGTCGACCTCCGAATCAACGCGGCTTCGGGGCGTCGCAGAGCACGGACCAAGGCGCCGGCTCGCATCGACGCTGAAGCCCGACGATGGAGACGCCCCACGAAGCTTCGATGCGCTACGGCAAGACCAACTGAGTGTCAAAGGCCGTGGGCCACGGGCGCACTGCCGCAGTCGGCCTACGGCCACCAAGTGAACGGCGCGACCCCTGGTCTGGCGCGAAAGCAACGGCGCCGGGCCGGCCACGCCGCGTGCGGCGCGGCCTGCGGGCGCAGCCTCGCCGCCGCGCTGGCAGCCACGGTGGGGCACTGCGATCCCTTCATCGCACTGCGCCTGCAGCTGGTGGCGTCGCGGCGCAGCTTGCGGTTCTCTGACGCGTCGCTGCGCGGCCGCATCAGGCGCGCCTGACCGCGGGTTCCAGCGGCTCTACGGCGCGCAGGCAAGTGGCGCTGGAGGCGGGTCCGTGAGCCCATGGGCGCGCTGCAGGCCGCGCTGCTGGACGTGGGCTGGGGCCCGCGCACGGCCCCAGTCTGGGCCCACCCGACGGCCGAAGGCGAGGGCGAGTTGGAGCTGGCTGGCGCCGACGACGACAGCTTCCACGCGCGCGCCGACTTCGACGGGGTGCTCCAGGATGCCGGGGAGGACCTTAGGCGCCAGCTCTGGCACCAGGCGCCGACGCACCCGCTGGGGGGCGACCTCATCAACGGCGCGGACCTCCGCGCATCGCGCGCGAGCTCGAGACGCTGGAGCGCGGTGCTCGCCACGCCGAGAAAGGCCTCACCCTCGCGGTTGTCTCGGGCGGCAAGCGCGCGAGATCCCGCCGCGCCGCTGCTGGCCATGCGCTGGACTTCGAAGGCTGCGCGCGGCGCAGCTGCGCGAGCGAGGCCCCAGCGCCCGGGACCCGGCAGTGTCCTGCGAACGTGGGCGAGGAGCTCGACTCCACTGCTGCCCCGGCGCCGCGGGCACTCGCCCGTCATGGGCCCTCGCCTGCCACGTGGCCGCGCGGGGCGCCGGCCTCCTGCATGACCGCCCCTGTCTTCTGCGACCAGCGGGCGGAAGAGGCCACGGCGTCCTTCGGCGCGGACGACAACCTGGAGGCAGCGAGGCGCGACGACAGCTTCGCGGCGGTCTACGGCGATGACTCTGGCGGGAAGCACTCCGATGACCCGAGGTTATAACTGAGCTGTCCTCCTAGGAACAGATGTCCAAGTATTACAGAGAAATGGCAAACATGGTGTTTGTATATCTCGAAACACATGGTGGTTTACATGGTCGGCCGATGTTCGAAACTGGTCTAAATCGTAAGCTTCGCAGAGGCGGAAGGTCGCACTCACGAGCGCTGAGGATCTTCGATCCCCCCCGCCCCAAGCGCGGACCTGGCGCGCGTCACAGAGAACAGAAATCGTAGCAGGCGGACGGGCAGGTTCGGGCGGGAAGGCTGGCACAGGCAAAAGCGGCGCCGAGGGCAATACCCAGGCAACAACGCGAAGATGAGGTCGAGCGCCCAGTCATCCGCACGCGGGGCCACGCGGAGAAAGGCCAAGCCTTGTAGATACACCAAACCGGACGGGGCTCGAAACTGAGGGGGGGGCGGGGCAAAGCCGGGGGCAACTGCATGCTAAACCCGCGGGCGGGGGTGGCAACGAAAAGCCCAGACTCCGAGAGAAAATCGTAACCAGAAATGCGCGCCCAGTCACCCACCCCCCGCGTTAACCCCCTTCGGCGCGGCCGCACCCAGAAAGATGGTCAGCTCCGACGCCCGCGGGCGAACATAGGGAGCGGGTGACCAGATGCGCAACCGAAGGCGCCGAGGGGAAGGAGGAGGAGGCGGAAGAGGAGAAGGAGGGGGGGGACGGAGGAGGAGAAGGAGAAGGAGGAGGGGGGGAAGGAGAAGGAGGAGGAGGGGGAGGAGGAGGAGGAGGAGGAGGCCCCCCCCCCCCCCCCCCCCCCCCCCCCCCCCCGCTCTACTGACCGCCGTCGCCGCCGTCGTCGACCCCTCCTCTCCTATCCCTCCTCCTTCTCCTCTCCTCTCTCACCGCGTTCTCCGAAAGGATCGGGGGCGCCGATCTCGTGGCGTCGGCCGCCCGCCGACGCGGGGCGACCCTCCTCAGCCGAGAATCGCATCCACCTTCTTGTGCAGCAGCGCTGGCAGCACGTCGATCGGCGAGAGCTTTGTCAAGCCCTTCTTGAGCGCGTGGTCCAGCTTCCTGGTGGCCTCGTAGAGAAGCCCGTGGTCCGTCGTCGTGTCGAGCAGCTTCACCAAGCTCGCCACGTGCTCAAGCGACCTGGCCTGGTCGATGGCGCGCAGCACGCCGTCCGTGAAAGCCCGGGGAGGCTTATCGAGGCCCACCGCCTCGCACTTGTCGCAGTAGATGCCGAACTCCTCGGCGGAGGCTGGGAGGGGAGAATGGAAGTGCCAGCGCGCTTCCATTATCCCCCCCCCCCCCCCCTCCCCCCAGTCCCTCGGTTGACCTCCACCCTCATTCTCATTTCTCCCTCGACCGCCCAACCAACACCAAGGCCACTACGGCGGACCACAGGACGCGGCCTTTACGCCGACAAGAACCCTCAGAGATGTACCTACCACCCCCAGATTGTCTCGACTGCCCCCAGATTGTCCCCAGATGCCGATGCACCCACTACCCCCAGGGATGTACCCACTACAGCGTTCTCCCAAGAACGCCCCCTAGAAGGCCCCCGCATCGCCCCCCCAAGAACGTCCCCTATAAGGTCCCCCAGAAGGCCCCCAGGACATCCAACCACATATGCGAGTCCACAAGGCAGAGCGGGGGCGTCGGTGATTCGCCGCAGGCGCCCTGGACGACATTAGGGGGCGGACATCACGTTTAAACCCGCGTCCTTCTCCACCTCGCCTGCCAAGGCGGAGATCTTGCCGAGGTCGATGCCCTCCGCCGTGAGAGCGCCGCACCCGTGGGCCACCAAGGCCTTGAGGCTACGCCCCTTGTAGCCCTCCAGCCAGCTCCGGCCGTTCTTGCCGCCCTGGCCCACCTGCTTCAAGGAGTTCAACATCGCATCGAACGTGCTCTTAGACTCCGCGCCGATTGCTTCGGCCACCATCTTGATCTCGTGCTCCATCTCCTTGTGGAACCCCACGGTGGTATTCCATGACGTCCGCTTGGTCACCGCCGTCTCCTCGATGTCGTTGCCGATGTCATTGGCGGCCATCGCGTGGCTCAGCCCGACCTGGATTGCACGGAAGATGCGCTCGTGCCTGGCAGCTTCCATTGGCGTCGCCCCAAAGGTAGGGAGGGCAATCGCCGACTTGGCCAGGTTGCGAGACTCCCCGAAGAACTGCGCCACCTTCTTAGCCTGCTTGGGCTTGGTTGTCTTGAGGAAACCTGCGATTGTAGATAGTGCTTGTTCGTCCACCTCGTAGTCGGCTTCACCCGCCGCCCTGTTCTCGTGAATGATGCCCGCCCACCTCCAGAAAATGCCATCGAGGATGACCTCCGCCGCGGGGTCAGAGCCGAGCCCGACTGAATTCTGCAAAGCATCGATGAGCTTGGTACGGCTGTCAACGCCCACCGTGTTGGAGTTCATGAGGCACTGGCTGACGGCGTCCACGGCTTGCTCCACGGCGAACTGCTTGGCGACCATGCCTTCGATAGCAAGCTTCTTGTCCCAGGTTGCAGACCAGCCGCGCATCGAATCGCCCATCGGGAACAACTGCCTGGCAGAGCCGACGACAGCCCTGAAGGCCTTCAAGCGCTCGGCAGTGATCGTTGCAGAACCCTGGTTCGGAGCGAAGATGCCGTTGTAGACGTGCCCCACTGCTTGCTTTGCCTGACTGTCCAGAAGGTCAAGTGAAGAAGCACGAAAAGTCCCAGAATACCACCCGATAATACTTTCAGGACCGACTGGAGGCAAGTGCACGTGTTGATGACCTCCTCGGGCGCCAGGGCCTCGTCGCGAGTGGCGCCATCTGCGAAAGCATCCATCAGCCAGTCGATGCACTCCCCGATCTCCGGGCCGAACTTCTCCCAAGCATCCTTTGCCGCGAGAACGCCCTGGATGCTCTGCAGGTGGAACGGCGCGCCCTTCAAGCCATTCCATAGCAACGAACTGATGCAATCTGGCTTCTGACCCGCCGCCGTCTCAACCGCCTGCACGAGGGCAGCCTTCTCCTCGAAGTTGTTGCAGTCGTCGCCCACTGTACCCGATGATGTTATCAATTTCACGCACTGGCGGATCTCAACGGTCTCCGCCTCGGGTTGGGACGGGAAGTTCGGGTCGCGAAGTTCCGCTGCCACCTGCTCGAGGACAACCCTGGCCAACGTGTACACCCCATTGCTGTGCTCCATGTCGTTGCTTATCCACGCGCAGAAGACCTCTTGAAGCAGGAACTCGTAGAAGAAGGCGAACTTCTCATTGGCAGTGGTACCACCGTTATGGAGACATGGGTTCAGGGGGCCAAACTCCTCAGACAGAACCTCCCCACCCAAGTTAAAGCACAATGCCTGGGATACGAAGGGCGCAGAGTCGTTCTCAGTCACGTTGCTGGCGTCCACCTCGAACGTCTTCAGGGACTTGCGAAGCGCGCGCCGCACCATGAAAGTCATCTGGGACGGAGGGTACTGCACGCCAGCCTTCTTGAGATCCTCGCGGTGCTTCCGTTCAACCTCGGGGTCGAGCTGGGCGGCAGCCGACGCCTTTACTTTGCGCGCCTTCTCCGCAAGCTGCATGTGGGCACTGAGAACAGACCTCGCCCCAAAGTAAGCACGCTGGTTAGCGAGCTTCCCGATCAACTCGCTGGCGTCCGCCTGCTCCTTCCCCATGGGTTTGCCAGCCAAGATCTGCGTCAAATCGTTCTTCTGGATCCAGTAACAACACTTCTCCTTCGGGTCTGCCGGGCACTGCAAGTAAACTACGGCGGCGCCCTCAGCAACGGAAGCACTGTCAAGCTTGAACGTCGGAGGGCCGCTCCTGGGCACACTGTGGCCAGATCCAATAGGTTTCCCGCCTGGCGACGCTTGCGGGAGGCGCGGGCCAGCGCGACCAGGCTCCGTCGCCGCCCTGTTGAACTTCACGCCCTGGGACAAGTTGGCCAGGGGCGAGAAGGACTGCACCGACGCCATCTGCATCGACTGCAAAGGCGCTTGGTCGGAGGAGGAGGCCGCCGCCGACGCCGCGCCCTTCTTCCTGCCGCCAACGGTGCTGCGACCACCAACCGTGCAAGCTCCGTCTCCCACGTCACCTCCGCCACGGTCATCGTCACCATCGTGGGTGTTCTGCTTCTTGACCCCGCGCGTCAACCCGCCCTCCTCGTAAGGGTTCAGGGCCTTCCCCTTCCTCGTGACGTCCTGCTTGCCCTTAAGTTGCGAAGTGCGTAGATGGGCGCCGAGAATGTTATCTTGATGGATCCCCTTGGTGCGCTGATCGTTCCACAGCTGGAATGACAAGTACCCATGGGACGGCATATGAGATTTGGCCTGGGCCAGGTGGTTGGTGTTCAAGATTGTTGCGGGCCCCAAGCCAACCCTTACGCGCCTGTAGCCCGCTGTCGACTCCGTCGGCAAGTCGCCCATGACCGCGTAGCACTCCTCCTCCTTGCCCTCCACGGTCCAGCCCTTGAACGGAGCCACGTTGAACTGACCAGGCCTGCGCTTGCTCGGGTACCGCAGCTCGGCAGCGCTGACACATAGGCAATCGACGTGGATTTCAGTGGCCGGGTTGACCACCGTCGCCACAGAATGAGAGTGCTGCCCCTCGCTGTCTGCGCGGTTGCGGCTCGCCTTCCACCCGGCCTTAAGCACGTCCGGCTGCCGCGTCGCCGACGCAGCCGCGTCGACAGAACGAAAGATGCCCGTCTTCTCAAGCTCCTGCACGCACGGCTCGCACAGCGGATCGCCATTGTCATCCGCGGTCTTGCCGAAGGGAATCTCCTGGCAAGGCTAGTCTAAAGAGTACTAGCGCCCCCAACCCAGCGTCCCATGCCAAAAGAACCCCCCCCCCCCCCCCATCCTCCGATCCGTCCGTCCGCCCGCCGCCTCCCCACCCCTCAACCGACCCCCATTCCCCTCGAGGCCACGAGGATGTCAAGGAGAGACGCCTGCCCCCATCGACCCCCTGGGAGGGAAAGGAGGGGAAAAGGCGATAGTGGCACAAACCCTTCCAACTGGCCGAAAAAAACTGGCAACGGATGCAACCGCAAACCGAATCCAGGGACGGCGCCAAGGACGGAGCCCGAATGGGCTTGGGGCCCAAAGAAACGGAACAGAGAATCACGAAATCGAAACGCCAAACGCTCGCATGCCGAAGGGCCCGTGCTCAGAGCGTCGCAACCGACGCATATGATCGCGGAGCCCGCCCCCACGGGGCTCTCCGGCATCGCGCCGCGGGCCGCCAGCGCAGCAGCAGTCGGCTGCGGTCGCGACTGCGCCATGGCCACGAGCACCCACAGGTGCCAGACTAACATGTAAATGAACGTAGTTCCTGGCTCACAGATGAGATCACCGAAAAGCCTGAACTGCTCGACACAAACACGGCGGCACGCAAGCAAATCGAGAAGCGAACGACAGGTCGAAGCCTCCAAAGTAATTACTACTCAAGGGGCGATGGCAAAGCAAAAAGACAATGGTCAAAGGCCTGCGGGGCTAGACGCACAACGCGGAGGGAGGTCGACGAACACGTTATCACAGAGAAGACCCGTGGCCCCACGCTGACGACTTGAAACGTGCAAATCCTGGAAACAAGCCATAGGGCCCTGGGCGGCCCTCCTTACACCGTGGCCGTTATAGGCCGCGAAGACGAACAACACACGGTCGAAATAGGGCCCCCCCCCCTCGCCTCTGACAACGGCTGACGACCGCAGGAACTCCTGGAATTGCCCTTGCCCGATGCCCCCTTCACCCCCCGAGCCTTTCATTATGCCACCCTCGTCGGTCCTGGAAGGCCATCAAAAGGAAACCAGAACGATGCGCCCGCAGGCTGGAGGCAAGCCTGGTTGGGGAATGTCCCATGCAGCACTGCACCTTTGTATAGTACTCTTGCTTGTGAGCGAACGTGTGAATAATGTGTGCCTGCGCGCGTGCAAATAAACATTAGACAACTCGCGCGTGCTATCGTGTCGTCTAAACTGTAACTGCACGCGCACGTTCGCAACTAACCCAGTCTGGCCACAACTGACGCGCGCACGTGGCCATGCAACTACCCCCCTTATCCCCCTCCCATGCGCCCCCACACCCACCTACAATCATCACGAATACGCCTACACAAAACAGCGATGGCTGTACCCTTGCCCCATACCGACAAGCCCCGTATTCACAAACACGGTTGCTCAGGACATCGACCCTATTGCAATGACAACATCGCAAGGCTGCTCATCGATGAACGTCCACGACGGTGCGTTCCCCCACCCATGCACGTCCACGACGACGCGCTCTCCTACTTATGTGCCGCCCAACACCCTGCCCGTAAGCAGCGCCTTCCATTACACGGCGCCCTAGTGCCCGCGCTCTCACAAGGTCGTAATGCATTCGACCGCAGAACGCGACCACGGCCGAACGCCCCTCTACCAACCGCCCCAACCCCGACCCAAAGATCTCCGCATCGAGACCCCCCCCCCTCCCCACCCACCCACCGAATGCAATCGCGCTGTTGCCACGAGCTCGGACCGCCGCCCCAGCCCACCCACCCACCCCATTACGCCTTCTACCTCCCCCGCGCGTCCGCCATCCTCCCCTGTCTTTCCACCGACTGCCAGCCCCCGCCAGAACATGGCGCTCTTACGCCAAGTTCGAAAGGCAACCCGCGCTGCGCGCAGCCAGAACTGCGACCGCGAGACGCAAAAAAACCTGAACGCAAAGAAAGCGCGCCACGGGAGTAAAGCGCGCAACTTAACATAACTTGCGAGAATGATAAACAGCGAACAATAAAACTTACCCCCATTGCCCATCTCAGCCCCCAAGTCGCCATTCCCTCCCCAGCCCAGATCCACCCTTTTCCCGAGCGCAACCGCCCCCCCCCCTTTCTGGCGATTCATCTCGCGCAGCCACCCGCGACACTGCGACCTCAAACGCCGAAGCTGGCACCCCCTCTTCTTTTTGCGCGCCCGCCCTCCCCCCCGCCCGCCAATCGACTTCTGCAGCAGGGCCACGAAGCGCGCGAGGGGCGTGCCGAAAGTCGCGGCGATCCCGCATGCAAGCGCTGCCATTGAAGAATTCCGTTGAGCCCCCTCTGGGGCCACGAAACGCGTGAAGGGGTACGCCGAATTGGGCGGCGGCCCCGCATGCAAGCGCTGCCACTGGAGCCTTCGGCGCGCGCTTGCCCCTCAGCGAGCGCGGTGGCGGACTTGCAAGCGCGAGCGGGGGGGGGGGGCGCGCGCGGCTGGGCCCGCGCTTACGAAAAAAAACAGCGCTGACTGCCTTGCCGAACGAACCTACCCAAGACGCGCGCGTGACCGACAGAGGGGGGGGGCGGCGGGGGCCTCGAATTCGCTGGGCGTGGTCTTGATCGGCATCGGCATTCCACTTATCTCGCCGTCAGCCCACAAACCTCGGGGCCCCGCCGACCTGGCCCCGCAGCTCGAACTTCGCAAGGTCGCTACGGGGACAATTGAAAGGCTTCCCGGCGCAACAAGCCCCCCCCCCCCCCCCTGGCACCCGATCCTCCCCCCAATGCGCCTGGCCTTCAATGGATTGGCGCCGCCTGGGCGTTGACGAAGCAGCGTGCGAGTTTGGGAACTCCCCGATCGGCACCCGAGAAACAAGCGCACCAATGCCACGACCAGATTGCGACGGGCAGTCGCGACTTTGCGGATGGCGCCACTGAGCGCCCTGCGCAATGGCCCGAAACGCACAAGCGGGGCGCCTGCGTGACCTCAGCGCGGTCGCCGCCCAACGCTGGCCCCCCTGGGCAGCGCCTCTGGAAAAGTCAAAGTGGCGTCAGCCAAACGGCGATCACCGCGCTGCGCGCGTAATCCTTCTGGCGCCAAGGCGCCCCTCTTGCGTGCTCCTGCAGTCCCGAGCCTCTCGTGCACCATGGACCCCGCCAGCAGGTGGGCGAGCCTGGGCGCGGCCGCAGTTGCCGAAGCCATTCCACAAACGCCGCCCCGCCCAAGCTCGATGCCAAACGCCTCCGTCGGCCGGCAACTGCCCCTGGGCGCGGCGCCTTAGCTGGGCGCCCCTCGGGAACGCAGCGCGGGTGCCGAGCCTTTCGGGCGCGCGCAAACCTACCAAACATGATTTGAAGACGACGACGCGACGCGCAGCGGCGACCCCTCCACGCCACGGGCGACGGACCCCCACCCACCTCTCCAAATCCACCCGCAGACTGCGCAATGCATTCCCTAACCCAGCCCACCCCGCCCCCCTCCTCCTTTCCCCTCCAGTGCATCTGCCCTCCCCTCGCAGCCTGCGTGCCCGCGACGCCCCGACAGCAGCGCCGCCGCGCATTTAATGTGGATCGTGGCCATCGTCGTCCTCATCCTCCCCATTCCCGCCCCCTCCTCCTCACTCTGTCACCTATCCTCCTCATCCTCCCCCTCCTCCTCCTCCTCCTCGGGCCTCGCCCTCGCCCCCCGCCCCCCCCCCTCCCCTCCTCTTCCGCCTCCATCACTCTCCCTCTCCCTCTCTCTTTTTTTTCTCTCTCTCTCTCTGTCGCTCTCTCTCTCTCTCTCTCTCTCTCTCTCTCTCTCTCTCTCTCTCCTCCCTCTCCCTCCCTCCTCCCTCTCTCTCCCTCTCTCTCTCTCTCTCTCTCTCTCTCATGTTTCTCTTTCTCTCTCCTCTCTCTCTCTCTCATCTCTCTCTCTCTCCTCTCTCTCTCTCTCTCTCTCTCTCTCTCTCTCTCTCTCTCTCTCTATCCCTCCCCCTCTCTCTCTCTCACTCTCTCTCTCTCTCTCTCTCTCTCTCTCTCTCCTCTCTCTCCTCTCTCTCTCTCTCTCACTCTCTCTCTCTCTCTCTCTCTCTCTCCTCTCTCTCTCTCTCTCTCTCCTCTCTCTGCTCTCTCTCTCTCTCTCTTCCTCTCCCCCCCCCCCCCCCCCCCCCCCCCTCCTCCCGCCCTCGACGCACGCCCGCCGCCCGCCTCTCCGCGCCGCCGCGCCCCTGCCCCCGCCCGCCACGCAAGGGCGCGCGCGCGCGCGTCGCGGCTTCCTCCATCCCCGCCGCGCCCTTCAGAACTGCCCCATGCGAATGCGACGGAAGGCTTCGGCCGTCGCCGTCGCCCTGAAACTCGCGCAGTTGAACCAAGCCGAGGCAGTGCTAAACCGCCAACGCACAAATCCTTCACGCACGCGCTACAACTACTTGAAAGGGCTCTCTTCGCGGCGCACGTGAAGGACAGAAGCGTCGCGCGACAGAAACGCGATGGCACGCGGGGCGGAAACCGCAGCCCCAGGGGGGAACGCGGCGGCAGCGCACGCAGCCCTTCGGCGCAACGCGTGGCCGCGGCGAAACGCCGAGCCGCCAGGTCGACTGGCGGGGGGGACGCGGGAGCGCAACAAGCGGGAACAGCGCGATGAATCATGAGCACAAGAGGACGAATATTGCCACGGTGGAGGAATTACATTGGCTGGCCCCTAAAGCGAAGCAAGGAATCAGCACTCCGCCGAAGAAGGCAACGCGCGATGGGGCGGGCGCAGCAACGGTCGACAAGGAGAGCACGCGCCTCGACGCGTCGCCCCCGTCGATTCGCGCGGCGCACGGCTCGCGGCCGCGCGCGCCCAGGCGCTTCCGCATCGGCGCCTGCGTAATATCACAATTGTCTGACCGTCGCACTTCGCTTATCACATGATCCGAGCGCTGGCCATCGCAACTGCGAGCACGATTGCTGCGCGGCGCAGGCGGGCGAGCGAGCGCAAACGGACGTCGGGAGGGGGCGGCGTGGATGGGGAAAAAAGACAAACGCGCCAAGTCGCGGTGGCAGGGCAGCCTGTGCCCGCGTCGAT